CAACCCATGCGCTTGGAAACAAGGCCAAGTGATGATGTTCCGAGTGCATGATGTAAATAAAAAACACGCATAATGGAGACAGAACATTTGGAGCATGACAGGCTGCAGCAACTGCTAAAAGAATGACCACACACCACGCATGAATGGATTCATCAAAGCTCTGGTGCTCGGCTTTTCAGACAAGGAAGCATTGAGATGCAGAGTGCACCTGGCACTGTCGAAGCTGCAATCACGTGAAAACGGCCACAGATTATAATTTAAAGAGCAAGGACTAGAGTGAATTCCCGCATGACAGAAGCCAGGACTCGATTCCTCTCTAGAGAACGTCTTTAGGAAATCGAGTTATTTTCATAAATACATCAAAATTGAAGAACTTATTCAAATTCGTCCAATTACACCTAGGCAACCCCAGTGTAACGATCCGTCCTTAGCCCTCGCATGGTCACGTCGGCGATACATTGGCATCGGCTGACAATGCTTGGTACAAGTTTGTTGTTATGATGCCCATTCAGCGTCATATCAGATGACTCGACTCGATCATCGTCATCATCATACTCAACCCGAGCTTAGCTCCTCTTGGCCTAACGAATGGGGACGATTGTTCCGTAGTTATTGGCCAGTTCGGGTCGCCACTAAGATAGTGGCGCAACACGATATAGTATATTGCACAGAACATCCCAAAGGAAAACAAATTTCTTTCGCGAGTTGTGAGATAACTCTTACAATCGCCTCTTCCGCCCGGTTGCAACACTGCAACTGGAAGACTACTCGAAGGAGAGAGACTCAATGAAGGGATAGAAGAACGTTTCTCACGCTCTCATCTTCCTCACACGACTTGAATGCGAAGAATCTTACCTCAAGGTGGCATCTGTCGAAGAAATCGTTATGATCTTCCGTAAAATTTACCGGAGAACATGAATCAGACGAACGTACGATACAAGGCTTTCAGTTGTTTGGTGAGGTAATGAGATTAGGGGAGGGGTGGAGCAGTCCATCTCTATTATGGAAGATGGGCAAACAGATGTGTCACGCTTACCCCTCGTGAGTTTCAGTTTCGACGAAAATCGTACTCTGGTACGAATGCTGGCATTGTATTCTCTAACAGCTAATTCCCAGTGTCCCCGATATCCTGCGCGGATTGAAACTCAGTCAGGGTATGACTGTTCGTAAAATTTTTCAGATGCGGAGCTGATGGTACAATACCTTTTAATACTTCGAGCGTCATATAATGCTGAAATTTAGGTCTTCATTGGGACCACGTCAGCAATGTAGTACTGACTTGATCTGACTGAATAATATTATCACCACATCAGTACCTGAATGCAATGCAAACACGTTATGTTGATACCAGTTATAAGCACCCATCAACATATAGCGACGCCAAACTTTAGGGTAAATACGTTAAATTCTTTGACCGGAACCCTCTTGATTCAGAAGGAAAAATGTAAAGAAAACCATTTGAAGCTAAATTAAATATTAAAATGCCAATGAAACCTGACTCACATGACTCCATGGAGGGGCCAGGAACGTAACACCGAAAAAGCCTCACTTTTCGTAAGGCGGCAAGACGCATAAAAAAAAATATTGGGAACAGGAAAGGTTTAAAATCAAAATGAGGTCTGACTGAATTTATTTTAGAACCGAACAAACGTGCTCCGGTGTCTTCCTTCCTGGAGAAGCTCAAAGAAGCACGCCGAAATGAGCGTGTAACTCTGCTGGCTCGGAACCCAGATTCCCTGGCAATGGGGATCTGAGTTTTCAGCCAATTGCTGGCTGCAAAACCGAGCCATTCGCCCACCAAAACGTGCAGAAAAATAAAATAGCCTTGCATGTTAACAATTTCAAGATAATTATTGTATAACCCCTCCTGCAATGAAAATTTCGCTGTGCCACGAGTCCAGCTGTTCTCCCTCGACGTTTACAGGATATAAATTTGAGCTTGGAAAATTTTGAGCATAGAGAAAACTAAAAACCCTGGTCACTCTGCCGGAAGATGCGATGACATGCATCTCCGTTTCTCAAATGTTATCACTTCTCAGTGAAAATGTTTCAATAGGGCAAAGAAGTGTCGATTTTTCCTTCTCCCAATAGATGTGTCAGGGTATCTGGTCCTTTGAGTTTTACCTTTAATCGCGCCAATTATAGCGCGAAATAGTGCAAATAATGCAACAACAAAAAAAACCTTTCCGTCGAGACGAATCGAGGCACCGAGTCGATCCAGATCCGCTGAACGAGCAGCACCAGATGAAAAATGAACAATCGACAGAGACAATATCTTCGAGTGTACAGTATGTTGTGTGTATGTTTTGAGATCTTTTAATCCCGTCTAATCCCGAACATCTTAATTCCGTCAGCTAATTAATCTTCCTTAATATAATTGATAGTTTATACATGTAATTTATATGGGGATTCGTGAAATTTATGTCGAAGCCTTATGAATGCGGCTCCTTATCGGAATAATGCAATGGCAAGAGACAAACGGTAATTTGAGACTTTTCTAAGCACTGTAGAGGCAAGCCCGACGAAGAAGCAGAGATGTCGGTGGAGAAATTTACAAAAAATAATAGAGAAAATGTTCAATTTCGTTCGGACAAAAAAATAACAAGCGAGTAAACATGGCTCAATAATAAAGAATCCTTTTCCACGACATTTTGTCCATTTTCTCAGATTGAGCCGCATCTCAAGATGCTTAATTTAGCATATTAAGCGCCTCGCTTAATTTAAGCAAGACGAGATGCCTCATTGGGATGATACAAGGGCTAATGCAATTCGGGCTCAAAATTCAGGTGGCGAAGCATGAGGAAAGGAATTCGTCTCAGTTAACTTTCATAAGCTTGATCACTTTTGGACCCCCTAAAAACTTTCCTAAAACGCAAAAAAAAGGGTCTAAATCATCTGGCACATGAAATTAAAGAAAACCAATAGAAGCTTTTATTTCTTGCACTCGGAAAAAATTGTAAAATTGAAAATGCGAGTGATATCGAAGGGAAAATTTTATAACTTTTTTTCCACGCGGCCTGATAATATAGATTTTCCAGACGATATTCGGCATGAGCCATTTCATATTCGGCACGAGCCATTTCATATTCAGCCAGAACCATTTCAATTCCGGCAGTGCCCCGTCCCCCGCTCACTTTTCCGGTTCAATTTCGACCATTTCCACGTCTTCCGTTTCAATTTCGGCACTCGCTAAGCCCGTTTCTTGTGACTGGGCACTGCATGCCGAGAAAATATGAAAGAGACCAATTTTCCCACGTCTCGTGGCGGTTTCTGGAAATAGAACGCATCATCTATAGACAGCTCCGATAACACGCATTCACTCCGATGAAGGCGAATGAGCAAGGATGCAAGGAACCATTCCACCTGTCGGTGCCTTCTCTCCATCGAATAATACGCAAGTTCGAAACCATGCGAGAATGGCTCTATTTGCCCGGTTGATGCATCTCCACGTATCTCATGTTTCTCTGTTCATTTCTGCCGACCCGTACGAAAATGTCACCGTTGAGTCAACGGCGAACCACCGGTGTAATTGGATTCGACGGCGAACAACCGGTGACCAGTGTTAAACTCCAGTTGAATTATTTTTATTTCAACATGTTGAGCTTCTTTTTTGCCTCGAGGGCGGAATGGGCCTGTTTCTCGACGATTTATGAAACGAGAAACTGCAAGCTGGAATTTCATGTGGGTGTAATGAAAATGGAAAATTCCTTAACGGATCTTTTGCGACATCACCCACGATGAAACGAACTGGTTCGTCTGGTGGCCCAGACGTGCATTCGTCTCGGAAGCTTCTCGAAACATTCCCGGAACTTCGATGATGTGACTCGCTCCCGCTTTGTTCGATTCCGCATATTTTTGCCCATTGATCCCGGCGTCGTCTTGCCATAAAGCAAAGACCGCCTTGCTCAACGTGGCGCATTCGAAATTCAGCGTCGGCGACATCGAGCTTTCCCAAGAGGGACACTCTTCATCGTTAAAGAGAATTCGTCGGTAGCAACAGGCTCATGCCGCCAGCTCGATGGATCGGTCTGCCGATGTCACCTCTGTCAGAATTGAAATAGAAATTTGATGACGAGTCCGTTTTTGACGAAGTTGAGACGATTGTGACCAACTGGACAAGGCTTCTCCGGAAATCTTATATTTTTCCGCGAAATTCCACCTCTCGTGCACGGTGGCAGCTGACCCTCAAGTGTTCCTTAGGACAGCTTGCTATAGACCTACTAGAACTTCAGGTGCAAGATTTTGTTTAGAATGATGACTTCACGCCAATTATGGGAAAGTTGAGAACCTGAGAAACTTTTAGATGCATTTATCGCGTATTTTAAGACCCCTGCAAAATCCTACAACTGTTTTCCAAAAGAGAAAAGTCAATCATATTGGATGCATCCTGGGGGGAAAGGAATTGCCGGAAATAGCTTCATTAACGACATGGCAAAAGATAAAAAAAAGGAAAGAAAGAGGGTGATGGGGAGGAAGTTACTCTTCGGGAAGAGATCACGTCCCTCTGGGAATCGATATAAAGGGAAGCTGCTCAGGGTGTCTTATCTGGAGTCTCCCCCAAATCCCTCAGCTAAAATTATCAACGTCACTTCAATGAGTTCGATAGCTGATAACGTTTGTCATGAGTGAATAAAGTTTAACTTGGATCTTCGTTTGCAACTTTACTTAGCATACTGACGGATGAGTGCATTTGATCGGAAGGAAACGCGAATGATTTTGCAGACATTAGGGAATATTTTGACGATCAAATACCAAGCAAGCTGAAAACAAGAAACAACTTAAATGTAGAAAAAAAAATTATTTTAGAGGAAGATTACAAGGAAACGAAAGAAACCAAATTATATCTCAACTATACTCAAAGTTGGGCATCTCATTCGTGGAAGGTGTTGCGAATTTCTCGTAAGCACAAAAAAAAATGAATTTTTAGCGTGATCCTTTATGCCCTCTAATGACGATTCCCGGTGGTCTAGGATGGGCAGAAACGAATGTGCTGCGCCTACCTGGTCGGGCACGAGTCCGGGAATAGAGGAGCAGATGCTGTTGGAAGAGAGATCGTTGCCTGCAGGGGCGTCGTTCATCATCATCGGGGCCACTCCTGACACCCCCAAATACCTGTAAATGCATCATATCACACGCTTACCGCCTCACACCCTATGCAATCTACATACATAAAGTGGGGGGAAATGCAGTCGTTTCGAAGGCTCGAATTCCCCTTCGAGTCGAGACCAAAAGAAGAAAACCCCCAGTAATAGAAGGTAATTGAACCCACCTTCCCCTTCTTTATATGGGGAGATATGTTGCGCCTTGTCACTCGGGATGGAACAACATGACGTGGATCCCTCCACACAAACCCTTATCGAGTCGAAACCAGTTTTTTTTTTTCCCTGATAAATATAAACAACTAATGATGGTAAGGGCATGGATCGATCCGCGATATGTCGAAATCTGAAGGCATCGATGACTCTCATCCGAATTTCCAGTATTTTTTCGAAACCCCCGTTTTTTGAAGGATGAGGCGAAGACCCGAAAAATCCAGAGGATGGGAGTTTCTCTTAAACACGTCCTTGAGAGCCTGCAGGTCTCCCAAATGTATCTCTCCAGATGGACTGGATAAAGTCTCTCTAGTCGTTTAGATATCAAATGTACCAGCTGATAAGACCCGAAGAGGACAGGATATTAAGAAAAAGGAGACTAGGTGATAAAACCTTCCCAGGGTCTAGCCTTAAAAGAACAGGTTTTAACATGAAAAAGAACGAGAGAAGAAGATACATGTTTCCGAGCCCGGTCTGATTACGGCAAAACAGGGCCATTAATGTCTGTCCGTCTGTCTGTCTCGTTGATCTAATGGAATGCAACTCATGTCCACAAGGAGGGACATCAATCAAAGTAGCAGCATTTCTTGCCTGGCTCACCCCCCCGGGCCACGAACTGCTCTCTCTGTCGACCTCCCATCTGTTGAATACATAAAAAGGGGGCAGAGAGGGAACACAGCGGAGATCCTTCACGACGGGACGATGAGCGCGGAACTTCCGAGTCGCGTCGTGCTGTTCTCCGTGGTTTGTCCCCTTCGAAAAAAAAGTTTTGTATTGGCTTTGGCATCGGTGGTTGAGCGACAGGGCCAGGTGCAGCTTCTTTTTTTTCACAAAATTTTTCCAAGTTGTTTTGCATAATACACCCTTTGGGAAAGGGCGGGTGCGCCAACAAAAGAGGACATGGCAGGGACGTGTGCCCCATGGCTGTTGTTGGGTCATTCAATGGAACATGACATGGGCCGAGACAAAAAGAAAAAAAAAGGACAGACCCCCGTAATGGAGTTTTAATGGCCGACTTTCCAGTGGAACTCTGTTTGGGCCTTCCGACAAACATCATTAGCCTCAGATGAGTCTTGCAGGCCGCATGTACACACAAGGCCCCAGATTTTTTTTCTTTTTTAGTTGGCCCTCATCTTTAGTGCTTCTACCAAAGGATTATGGATCTATAATATAGATTCCTGTATGGCTTCATAGAATTTCAGATTTCTCCTTCTGCTTCCTCGCCCATTGGGGCGGAAAGCGAAGGAAAGGAAAAGCCGCTTTGTGACCTCTCCCAAGATTGCCTATAAAACGGGGTCTAATCGGAGCTTCTTTTTTCCCCCCTTCAATTCTTAAGGATTTCCCCCTCTTCCATTCTGGCCCCTCCTTCCGAAAATGCTCATCACGTCCAGGCTTTCTCTCCCTCTTCTTCTTTCGAAAGACCTTATTGGCGAAAATTCCATTACAAGAGTGGGCAAGTGAGTGTGTGTGGGCAAGAAGGCGTTAATGAAGTGAGCCTTGGCTTCAATCAATCACACGGAGAGATGGGCGTGTGCGATCAGTCATCCAAGAAATATTTCATATATATATATATATAGGCCTGAAGGAAGGGAGGAAGCAGGGGGGGAAACAATCAGATCCGAGTGTCACTGGGACCCCTAATGGCATCAGAGGGTTAATATCCAGCTGGGTCATGTGTTTATGCAATCCCCTGCCCCGTCTCCAGAATAAATGACGTTCCTTTGCTATTCTCCTGCATTCAGGCCCCAGAAGGGGAGGAAAGCATTTGAGTGAAATCAATAGGGGGAGTTCTTTTCGTGCACCTGATGGGATCTATCGATCACCGTGGGAAGATGCCCGTCGGTGTCTTTGTTAATGAGGCGAAGAAAGCGAGAATAAGAAGCCACAAATGAGCCCTCTCTCGCCTTAACGACCCCTCGGCATTTGCATGAAAAATTACACCTTCAACGCCAATTGATCCGCATTAGGGAAGAAAACAAATAATTATTATTGCAGACCTTCTACCGTCAAGTATATTCAGACCTGGCATTTATGCATCAGGGGAACTGCCCCACTAACGAGGGAAATGTGGCATTTTTTTACTTCCAACCTGCAGGCGTCGCTCCGCCACGAAAGCGAACTTGGAGACCTTACGAAGGGTCTCATTGATTCATTTACACGCATAGACATTCTTCATATACTGTGGTACAGCATATTCCTGAGATATTTTTGCTGTGATCTCGTCATCGTGATCGTGATGATCAACTCACCGTATGCTCTAACTCCCAACGGATCTACTTTCTAAGTCCTTGGCGGCTTCATTTCTGAGAGACCAGCGAAGGGGGAAAAGAATCTCGCAACGAGAGTGGGGAGAGAGGAGGGCTGGCAAGGATTACACGGAGAAATGCTGATGGGAGGGGGGGGTGGGTGGGATCGTTCTCGGCATCTGTTCGCTTCCCATTCACCTGGACTGAAGCACTGCCGGCGGTTTGTTCTTGTCGCTGGGTTGTGGCGCTTTCCTATCCCGGCGATGTGAAATTGAATTAAGGCGTTAAATGGGCTGTGATGATGTACTTAATTATTGTGATCTTCTGATGGGTGTAATGTATCAATGGGGAAGAATTAAACGCGTAATCCCTTGCATTTATAAAACTGGGGCAACGATCAGCTGGGCATGAGATACGCTGCATCAATAATTAGTAGTAAATGGATTTTTTAATTATCAATAGTGGCTGAGCAAGATTAAAATTCAGATGTTTGAAATAAAAAACCTGCTCCTTATATTTGCTCTCTCTGGTTGCCGTTATATATTTTCAAGACTGAAGTAACTTGCGAGCAAAATCGGGGTGGTCCTGATCGCGGATGAGAGCCTTCAAAGTTCTCCAACTCATTCCTGGCTAAATCCCTCCGTACTAGTAATTAGTGTCAGGATAATGATCCCTATAATTACAGATACGGTAAGAAAAAAAAAGCTGACGAAGAACTGACTGCGGTAAAAAAAAAGTAGATTCTAATAGTACAGCTGTAATTGGAGACTTATAGAATCAATCGTGCTACTTCCTTTGCATGCATGTCCAAGTATAACCGAGGCGATATCTGTTCTCTGTTGCGTGATTGTATCTTCACACCTCGGGCCGCGCGATCGAAACAGATATGCACGATTTTATTATTCCCTCATCGCCGCTCTTGCGTGCGGACTGAGATCACGAAGCACCGTATTCATGGCCTCTATCAAATCCTGCCGTATCTTCGTTCACATCAGACGTTCCGTAGAATTTCCTTCGATCACAATCGATCCGATGGCATCAAATTCGCTCGTTTGTGCCAGGCGTAACTCACATGGACCGATTGAAAAATCCGGGGGACTATTTAAAAACGTTTTTATGGGATTTTATGGGATATATAAAAGAATGAAAGATAAAATTCTCACATCCAGTTCCCGAGGGAAGCCTCGACGGAGGCGAAGTAGGCAGTAATCATCCATAGTATCCAGCACCAGTCGAGATTCATAATCGCTCGAACCGGATTCGAAAATCGATCAATCGGGCGGTTTCCGGACATGTTCATTCAGACACGAGTCTTCCATAATTTTCTCTATGATTCAGATTCAGGAAATGCCTCAAGGCGGCCCGGACATCACTGAGACCACAGGCAGACACCGAACACCACCCACGGGGAGGAACGTTGTCACAGCTTCGGCAGTCCGGGAGAAACTGAGCGAGAGAGGCGAAGAATCCTCGTCGTTGGTGGGAGCGCGGCCGTCCGGCAGCCAATCAAATCTCGCCTCTCGAAACGCACAGGAATACCTTGTTTCAACCACCCACCCCTACAGGCTTATATTGCCTTATTTATGGTGGATATTGCCAGAAACCCTTTCGGGGTGAAGGGCGCGTCGAATCGGCTGCTGACACACACACATTGACGCGGAGTCAGTGCTCTTCCCCGCATGACACGAATTCCCCTTCCTTTGTTCCCGATTTCCGGATCACATGGATTCCAGAAGCCCGTCTCACTAAATCATTCCCTAATGGAAAATCAGCCGTCGAAGCTCAGGAACCGTCTTTCAACTGCCATGGGCTCCACATTCTGCGAATTCATACAAAAGAATGTCGACGGCCTTGGAGGTCATCGAAGATTCTCCTTGTTTATTGCGTTGGCTCCTTGTCCGAGTTACACGGAAAAGAAGTTTCCCAGATATCTCGGATATTCGCGATTGCGACACCACAAAGGATCATTTTCTTCCTCTGAGCAGTAAAAAAAAAAAGTATAAACTTGCCCATTTCTTCCCTATTTCAGCGTGATTCCCATACCCTGGAGGTAAGAGAGGAAAATATCTCGTATGACGACCCTCTTTTGTTTGCGAATGACCCAGCACAATGCACCCTCAGATGGATATACGGCAAAGAAGCTGGAGGATCAAATATCAAGAATCATGAATAAGCAGAATGGGAAAAAAAAAGGGACCTTCTCTCATCACCCTCACAAAGAAGCGTTATTCAAGGCGTCCGAAATTAGCCTAATTTGGTTGCGGCTCATGAACGTTAATTAACGAGGGTTCTCTTTGAATGAGAAATGAGTCGGCATTCTTGGCCTTGCAGTGGCATGTGCCTATATCTGAGACCGTAAAAGGAATTGCGCAAAAATTTCTTTCCCTCTTATAAGCCACGAGCTTCTCTTATCTCCTCCGCTTGCGAACCCAAGTTCGGAAATGGGGAAAAGTTCCGGGCTATTGAAAAATGCAGGCTTCCATTTTGACAGATAGTCAGTCTTCCTTTTCTCTTCTTTTCGAAGCCCCTCGGTGTGTCAGGGTCAAGAGTTCGCGTTCCTCTTGTCGCAAAACAAATTCACCGTCTTCCATCTTTTCTGCATTTTTTTCCCGTTTTCTTCGGGATTCCGCCTGTTGTTCCGCCGATGGCTCTGGGGACATCATTAGCGAGACTAATTACAGCTATCGCCTTTCATAATTTTTCCTCTCCCACGAAGAGGAAGGAGAAGGCAGAGGCAAGCTGGAAGGTTCATTTGAATCTTGTATTCTCTGCACATACCCCGTCTCCATAGGGGGTTTTACGCGCCTAACTTACAACGTTCACACAGGACCACCTGGTAGAAAAAAAGGTGAGGACATAAGTTACCACGTGGTTCCAAAACATGTCACAGGGACAGGGGACGGAAACGAATCGGCCCCGAATTTATTTATACCGACACACCACAGTTTCCCAGTGGAAATGGGAGGGCGTGTGAAGGGGAAGTGTCACGCTTATAATGATGAGGAAGAGTCATTAAGATCGGCGGGGGGTGGACACCTCTCGATGGGTGGGAATGGGATGGACTCTGCACACATTCATTCATTTTGGCAGGGGGAAAAAAGAGGAAAGACAGACACGAGCTCTGTGTCGTGTTTTGGGGGCGAGGCATCAAACATCATTAGGCTCCTCGTACACTCCAGAAAAGTCACGACTGGCGATTTCGCCGAGAAAACATGTGTATGTGCCGGCGACTGGACCTTGCTGACAGACCCACAAAGAGACACCTGGATTAGAGGAATCCTAAATTATTTTATGTATGTGTTTGTACGTGTGGAGAGAGAGAAAGAGAGAGAGAGAGACAGATGGGAGGAGAGGATAGAATAGAATAGAATGAGAAAAAAAAGTCGGCGTGATCAAACATGGACGCGTCCCCTTGGACTCGGAGTTAGGCAATGGACGGCTACGGCTTTTCAATGCATCAACTCGCTTGTGGAGAATCCCATTCGATCCGCTTCCCATTCACTCCTAAAAGGGGAAGAAGGTGAAAAGGGGTTTTACTTCCATGTGTGTGGCCCTTCCTCCCTGCTTTGCTTCCTCGTGAAAAAAAAGTACGGGAAGCTCACTGAAGACTCTTAAATTCCAAGTGAAATGAAAAAGGCTCCCTCCTCCTCAATCGTGAGCCACACATCAGGACTGGAAGAAAGACAAGAAGAAGGGAAGAGAAAGAGGGAAGGGATTGTCCGACCAACCTATCATTAAAAGGCAGCATAAATCGTGAGCTAGATGTCTTAATTACAGACGAGAGGTGATATCAGAGGAGGGATAATTGTCGGTTTGCCACACACTGCAGCAGTGAGACCCAAAAAAATTCGCAGAATCTCTCCCTCTCTTTCTCCCTCGATTTTCACGCTCTACTTGGCAGGCCTTCAAATTTGGCGCTGTAAGGGAAGGAAAGTACAGGTGTTCATAAAAAAAATTTTATTCCATGAAATTCTAAACGAGCAGTGCATATTATTTGGAGGTGGGGCCAGGGAAAACATGCATAATTGCAAATACACCCTGGCCGATGACATCACAGGCGTCGTCCCTAGACAGGGAAATATATTTGGCACATCTTTAGCGTTAAAGTTGACTGACAAACACGCTTTTTCAATTGAAAATGCATCTCTAGAGGTTGAAGGGAAACTATATCCTGGCACCTCTTGAGATGCCACGCCCACCACAGACTCCATGAAGCTTGAATAGGCATACCACATGTTCATAATTTCGGAGTTTCTGTTTTCTTGCCGTTCATACCGGCGGAAAAGACTTCGTCGATTTCCGTGTGAGGCTTGTGGTCAACTTCAACTCCACGGCGCCGATTTGTACTCGGCTGATGAAGACTGCAAGCAAAAAAAGGGCAGAGGGGATCTAGGACGCACAGATGAGTGGATGTTTTCATCTGTCATCTCTCTCTGTCTCTGCCCGCATCAATTGTGGCAGCAGAGCAGAGGTCTTGAAGAAGGATGTCCGTATAGGCGGCATTGACGGGCCCCGTCACGGTAAAAAGCCCCAAGCCTGATCCCCCAGATGCCTCCGTCTGCGGCACAAAGACCCAGAGATGGAGGTGTAATGAGGATCAGGAGGCCCTGTAATCATCCGAACACCTCCCACACTCATGATTATTTCCTCTCCCCTTATGACCCGTCATCTCGATGGAAATTAAACCGCCCTCCCAACTTCCTTTCTCACGAAACCAAAAAGAAGCATTCCTCAAAGAAATAGTCATGGTTTTCGTAAATAAAAAGGAAAAAGAGGGTAGCAGTAGGGGTGAGAAAGACCATGAGCTCGGCTGCTCCGTTTTTGGAGATTAATTATGAGAAGGACAAATATTTGCCGGGTTCGAACAAAAGGATCGAGGAATCCCAGAGGAGCGGCTGTCAAATATTTTCCTCCCTTTACTCACTGCCTCTGTGTCTCCACTATTCCCTCCTATGGCAATACATCTTGGCTTTCTTCCCCGTAGCCCCACGATGAACGGAGGACGGTATCTCTCACGTTTTTCACTTCGCAGTATTTTTACCCTTTTTTTTTCGATTTGAGTTACGAGGATTTCAGATTTTTGGCATCCTGAAGAATTTCTTAACCGATCTACTGAGATCATTTTCCCGTGGGAAAAAAGTCCTCTCTCCTGCCGGTATTCCAAATTTACTTATACCTTTTTCCTCGAAAAATATGAAAAATAAAAATATAATATGACTCCGCGACATTACAGTCCATTCCAGGTCTAAGTCCTCAGATCCCAGACCGGCTTATCTAGGACTAGGACTTAAATTGAGGGATATCTCGACCTGTCGTTCAGATGCCCTTATCACTGTGAGAAAGAACAGCGTTGGCAAGTATAAGGGTGCCGTATTGACCCATGCGCCGAATCTGATTATCATTATGCTCAAAGATCAAAGTTGCTGCGAGCACCAAAGATACATTCAATTTCTTATAAGCGAGATCTCTCATAACAAACGGAAGGCACAGCTACGTACATCACCATAACATAGCTTTCATATGACAATATTAAAGTTGTATTCAGGTCTATGGCTATTTTTACAATCTTGCAGGGGAAGATGAATGCTGGATTTAATATTTAAAAATTATAGCATTTATTGTTCAAAGAGCCAACCTCCTTCATCTGTCATGCTTACTGGTCTCCCTTAGAGGCACGTGAGAACTTTGACCCGAATGGACAATAATTGAAGATGATTTTACAGCTGGGCTTCTCCAAGAAATGGTCATCAATCTGCAAAATTGACGTGTTTCACGTTTCTACGAAGTCCTGTAGTACCTTTTTTTCCAGTGAAGTGCAGTACAGGCAATAGTGTCATGGAAATGATACACGTGACTACGCACTCAGCCGGTCATTCCATTTAACATAATTTTTGCACCCGATCTGTCCTAAAATTCATTGCATACGAGGTCAGTCATTTTTAAATCGTCGTTCCCAAAATAATATTTCATCTGAAAGTAAGGCAAACTCTTGAAATGTCGCTGTAACAATAGTTAATATAATTATAACTCCGCGCTTCGATGGGAAGACTGGGAGGAATCGCTGTGGTACCTTGTGGAAATGGCAGGCACAGGAGCCAGGGTAGAAGTCTCGAAACCTAGCCATGGTGATGTTGAAAGTGTCCAGGACCCGAAACCCCTTGGCCAATGCCAACGCCTTCAGGGCATTATTCTGCACCCCCAATCGACACACCTCTTCCTGCTGAAAAAAAAAGACGGTGTGCGTGTCTGCCATAAAAAAGTCCAGGGTCCCTATTCACACCTGGATGCGAGACGTGGAAGAGGGAAAAAGTCTCACCAACGAATTGCAAGAGTCCCTCAGCCCAGCTCCAATGGTTTTTATTACCACTCTGCTCCCTTCCAGGCCCTCTCTATGACAAAATTAGATGAAGGAATGCTGCTAATTCGATTAGGATAATTAAAAATCATGCATGGATGGCCGAGGGCCAGAGGAAATGGCTTCGAAGACGTCCGGAACTAATGTGTAAATTTTGAAGAAAGGGACACCCCTCTTCATAATGAGCACGATCGTCATGTTTGCGACTGGAGGGGAAGTCTTCTTTATTTTGACAAAGGGAGGGAGGCGGGGGGGGGGATGGGGGAGGGGGGTCAGCCAGTGCTGGAGGGGAATGAATAAACTTAGTGTGTTTGACGGGACAAAGGCCTCCCTTGTGTCGGAGGAAGACGAAAGACAAGTAGACGTTTGTCCTCTCTCAAATGAATGCATGCTCCCCTCATCTGTGTTGACCTCTTCCCCTAATGAAGAGCAGATACGAGATACAGTAGGGGAACTTTAGACCAAAGTCTTACCTGCGAAGGACCCGGGAGATCATGTGAATGTGGGTGGAGGCGAGGAACCCGTATCCCCCTATCACGATTACCGTTGAGGAATCGTTCCGCAAAGGACTCAACCTGGAAGAGTGGAGAATGTGGTCAAGTAAAATGCGCTGTTGTCCTGTGACAAAACATGTTTTGTTCACTTCATAGCAAATAATGCAATGTGCCCAAACCGTAAAATGATTTTACACCCTTGAAAAAAAGGGAAAATTTTCATACATGTTGCTAGCTTTTTGATATGTTAAAATATAAAATGTATTTCAAAACGTGAACTCAATTTTTTGTTTGAATGATATGATCCCTGTCACTACTCAGCACGGCCCCACACCCTTCTTCCTCTTTATTAATGAGGTTCATTGAGAAGCACTTGACCAGCCCTAATTCCAATTCAAAGGACTCAGGAGGCCTTGCTCCCACAGAGATTCATTGCTCACGTTTTTATCGTTACTACCGAATATGGGGGCCCACGCACACAGACTCCATGGTTCATTGCATCTAGTAAAGGCCTTCCTTTCCCCCGTTGCACAATACGCCAATCCATAACGCAATCTTGTGTCTTGAGTCCATAAGCGACAGTTTTTTTTTCTTCCAGAGAGAAAAAAACAGAACGTGTCGTCCATGGCAAGAGGAAGGTTTTTTTTTCTGTTTGGACCTCTGCGGCGCCAGAAATTGTATTACAGATGAGGAAGAAACACCGGGGGGAAGTGGGGATCTCCTGTCTATAACCCCACACAGACTACTTGCATTGTATTTCCTCCTCCCTTTCTCCTGACGCTATCGGTCGAGAAGAACCAGCTTCTGTGGGCCTGTCTACGTTTAAAAAAAAGGGGGGGAGGGATAAAAACTAAGCAAAGCCCAGTCCGGGAGCGAGTCTTCTGAGTGTTCTGTCAGAGATGATGTGAAATAATGTGAGATATTAAGGGTAAAAAGGAGAAGGAAAATACCAGAGAATGCCAGCATTAATGATCCGTGGCTCGGGAAAAGCAGGGACCGCGATCTACTTCGTGTTCCTCTTTCAAAAGCTTATTCATATTATTGTTAATTTATTTGTGAATAAAACTTATCGGAAACTACATTACCAGAGAGGAAAATCTAAATCCAATTCGTCTGACACGAGCTAAAGTTTTCTGTCAAACGGAAGGATGGCACGCAACATAACAATTAAAGGATATTGGCCAAAAAAAAAAGGGTTCTGCACAAGCCCCAGGGCAATTTTAATTAAATTCACGCAGATGATGCATGATATCATGGGATGTCTAGCACAACACCCAGAAGACATCGAGTTTTCCATTAGGTATGTGAACAGGCCAATATCCACATTAGGCACGCAATAGACAAATGAAAGATGTGGTGAACACGTCAAGCAGATTATAAATTCCTTATCTCGGAGGGGGGGGGCCGGGGGCCGCAGAGGTCGCCGAGGCACGCCAATCATCTGCCTGAATTTGACGAATCCGACCAAAGGGCTTCTGTAGAACCAGGCTTTTTGGACAATATCCCTTAATTGTTTTGACGTGTGTGCCTGAAAGGTGCAAATTAGTGTAGACGGAAAAAAATTTTCATTCAGAGTTGGCAGCGGAAGAAAATAAATCGACCCTCCATTTCTCGTTCTTGATTGAAACCATTCACTCTTCGAAAATGGGAAAACGATCGCTTTGCTCCTGGCCTCGGGTATCATTTGGGACCGTGAGAACAGAACGGGATATCATATCACCCTGACGATGATGATGATGATAAGGGGTAAGGCAGAGAATCCAGAATGGGACAGGAAGAAGAGGCGAGCGATCCATCACACTCACTTGATGATGAGTTGAAAGAGTGACTCGTCGAAAGTGGGTCGGCGATTCGAGGGAAGCCAGAACTGAGGGAAATAGAAGAATCCTGCCCTGGCCGTCCCCCCGTCGCCGTTCCACGGGGGCAGGACGGCCATCCCGTGCACTTTGTCCCCGAACCCCAACGACCCATTCACCCGTTCAATCAATCGATACAAGATCCCTCGCGTGGTGGAGTCACCCAGGAACAGAAGCTACGACATAGTCAAAGGCAATCACATACACATCACATTGCAAAGGCAATACATGCACATCATACAAATATTAAAGTATAAGGTCGGGCAGAGCAATCAGAGAGTTTAATGTTGACCAAAATTAAACAAAGATTGCTCCAGATTATTACTTATTTCTTCAATTATTTTTTTATTTGATAACGAGAAGGACCATCAAAACAAATCGCCGCTGGAAATATTTTGCGACCGTATTTGATTCTGACAACTTAAATTAAAATAGACTAAAACTCTCTGAAAGAAGTTTTGAAACCCAAAATTTTAGTCAGTGTTACGTGCTTTCGGCCGTTCCACAAAATAAATGTCTGCTGGATTCTTGGATCAAACTATGATCTTGCAGAAAAGCCTTCAGATGCAAATGAAGCTGTGCATATGGCATTTCCAAACGGAAATTTAAAATACCTTTCGACCGGCGAAACACCTCTGCAGATCCCCAGGTTGAAAATACTTGAATCGGCAGTTATGAGGTTGCCATACGGCTTCATCCCAACGGCACGTCTCACACGGGATATCTTGGATTTCGCACCGACAAGGCACCACCCATCTCCCTGGAGCATTAAAAAAAAATTACGGTGGCAATGTTCCGACTGCATTTCCGGTAATTTCTTTTACTCGTTATCTCGAACCGACCCGAAACGTGTGCACTGGGGCAGATGGGAAGTTGGGAAGACTGGTTGAGGAACTCGTCCCAAGGCAATCCAAGAGGAAAGAGGCCACATGGATCGTTCCCTGAGAATATCATGTCGCAATCCTGAACAAGGGGAGGAACCAGAAGATCAAGGATCACGAACACGAAAAGGAACCTGCATGGATGTCTCTAATCGATGACCTGTATGATGGCAAAGGCCTCGTAGGAAGACGGAGTAGGAAGCGGGCGATTCTTGGCCGGGGATCGGGCTTGCCTCTTCAACCAGATTTCGTACTTGTTCACTGCTTTCATGGAGTCTCTGGAGCTGAGATCCACGACGTAGATCGTGACACGGGTCTCACCGATCCCCACCGTTACATTCACGAGTCTGCACCCCGAACACACATGATGTGACACGATTTCATGCCATCGGATTGAATGGACAGCGTCATTCAGCTTTTTTATAATGGATCACTTCAAGTTCTCCTAACGGACCATTCTACGTCGAATCCATCCATCAAGAAATTATGACTACGGTAGTTTTCTCTGCCATGCTCATTTTATGACGTCATTAGCTAGTGGTGAGAATTCGATCGCACTCGTCTCTCTGTAAGGACGGGTTTACACGTGCGAGTACACACGCAAGGAAGCTACGCGCGTGAGAGATCGTCCCCATTGACGACCATTGTCCGTGCGAGTGCTTCCGCGGAATAGGAGTCCTCTTAATTTCTTGGAATTTATTCCTCATACCATGGTCACCTGTGGAGACGATCTCGCATGCGAGTAACCTTCATTCGAGGGCGCAACCATGTGTAAATGTGTTTTTCCGCCCTGCCCTAAGCATTCGCTCAGCCTGGCAGCTTTTGCTCCGATACAATTTTCTCGCGGTTGCGGCTCACTCGATCGCAAGACTAAAAGAAAAGGAAATATGTTTCAGAGAATGCAGCAATACATCGCCCTTAAGCGCTTCATCAGGACCCATGATCATCAGGACCCATTCATCAGGACCCAATAGGCGAACAAAAGGTTAAGGGTGAACGAAAGAGAAGAGGAACAAGCTCCCATACCCAAACACGAGTCCATCATGCCCATTCCTTATGAAGGAAAGTGAATAGAGAAGAATACGAAATGATTGAGGGCAGGAGATGCTGAGAGAAATTTATTATAGGTGGATAGATGCGATTCCACAGCGCTGGCCGAACTCAAAGCAGGCCACCAAGGAGGAAGGAAATGGTTCATTTTGATGTGACGGAAGAGTGATTCATATCTCCATGCATCAGATTGCTCTTTTGATTGCAGATGCGTAGGGCTCGGGGTTTTGTGACACAGCCAGTGTCCTGTCGATTGCAACTTTGGCGTGTTACAATGCATATGCAGTGTAACGTGAGCCAGTTGGATGAGTTCGATTATGTTCATTGAGGTAATGAGAACAAATGAAGAGGACATACAAGTGACTTTGCACATACAACTTTGTACAATAACTTTTCCCGTTTCGTGGAGAATACACGTGTCGTGAAGTCTGAAGATATGTCCCCTAATCAAGAAATCAAGAACATTAGCATGGCCTTAGAAACAAAAGTGAGAAACACGCCAGGGTTTAAAAAAATCTGTATTTTCACTCCAGAGCTGGATGAAAAGTCGCTTCAAAAGAGTTATATCTTGGGGATAAGTGCACTTTCTAGTACGGAAATGCAAGAACTCGCGATCCGATGGAGAATGACAGAATCGGGATAACCCTTGAAATAAAATCCGTTTGAGAACGGGGAGAAGCCTCTTGAGAAGATGCTTCTAAAGAGCAAAGATGCTGCACTCGAAGTACTCGAAATGAGGAAATGGTGTCTCAGCTTCTGTGGATGGCAATAGTTGAAATGGACATATTGACATAGGTCACAAGATTTACTGTGAACATACGCTGGGAAGCTCCCACCCTCGAGGAAAAATTCGTGAGATCCAGAAATCAGAAGATTGAATCGGAATCAAAGGAACGCACGATAGTCGAGCAGAGAGAAAAAGTATGTAAACGATCCATCAAAAGAGGAAACGTCTCAATAGCATGTTTCAGAATCAGAACCACCAGAATCAGTCAATGAAGCGAGACCGCACAAGGGGCCTGAAACCCCCGGGGAAGAGCCGAGAGAAAGGAAGTTGCAAAGAACATTGTCAAATTATCATAGGGGAGTGCCATGTGTGTCCCTAGGCAGTTTAGTTCATTTGGAGGTACTGCTGACTTCAGCACGAAAATTATTCCATTCCAGGACTCAAGGGATGAGAAAAGACAGAGGATTGATGAAAACCTAGTCTTGAATAATAACTTATAAAAAGGGGCAGTTTTCTCATAAATTCCCAATAGATGGAATTTTGTGGAACCTTCAGCTTCAAGAGAGTCGGAAGAGTCACGAATATAAATGGGTTGAGAAGCAAAAGCATAAGAGACCTCAGACTGATAAAGCTTATCATCGACAATTATTGACTATTAGTAACTAAAGTATGCGGAAAATTTCACATGTCATATCTTGTTGACGCAATCCTGAGATCGACTAGGTTGAACAAGCATAGGAAGGCTGAAGATCGGCTGAGTCAGCAGAAGAAAAACACGCTCACGCTGCTCTTATTCGACCGACGAAGTGTTCAGTGACAATGAAAACTTTTTCAACATCGAAATGACTGTGTTGATGATGAAATGATGCTCAGGTCTGTTCTGTGATGAGAACATCTCCATATAAACCATTAATTCGTCGAAGATCGAGGACACGAAGTGACAGGCATATCAGCTTGTATCATACGGTTGCCTGGTGTTAGTCCAAGGACGTTAAGACGATTGCAGTAAGGGGAAACTTTAAACAGGTATCGCAGACTCGAGATGAAGTAATAGTTCTGTTGGAAGCAGCAGCAGAAATAACTTCGCAGCTTCTGTCGAGGTGCAAACATCGAGTCTTCAGGACCCCCGAGATCCAAATTTAAAAACAAATAAATAAATATTCTTCACTCTATTAGTGTGAATCATAAACTATACAATCACGCATCGTACACGCCTCCTTTATTATCCTAAACAAAACCAATGACTCCACTAGCTCGAAGAATGTTAGATTTCTGTTCTCTCTCCCGACCGAGAGAGAACATCCATTTTCATTCTTCCTGTTACCACTGATCACGCTTATCCTGCTTGGCACTAACTGCACCTCGCTCACGAATACGTGATTCCTGCCACTGGTTTTGCCCGTGCACACATTCGGTCCTAACTGTCGGTCAACCCCATACCAGACGACGTGACCCTTTTCCTGCCAGACATGTTAGCATACAGCCCCATCATTCTTTCCTATCACGACCCGCGTTCCAGTTCTACGGACTGGAGACGACCCGAGACGCACATACCATAATTTCTCCGCCCGTTTCCAGGAGTTCAGACGTGACATCTGATGCACCACACATCGATGATCTGTTACTCGCAAAGCTGAGCTGCAGCTAAAACATCCACTCTGAAACCGTACACCCAGAATCGAACAGAACCTGAACCCAATTCCCTGAAGGCAAACTGAGCCGATTCGAAAAGTGAGGCAGATTACGAATCTAAACTCGGACAGTTCACCCGAATCCGATTTCATGCCGGAATGACAGTGCGTCCCTGCTTGTAATATTCCCGAACAAACGAAGGAGGGAATTCACGTGGGCTCATCACCTGCTACGTTATTTGATTATTTTTTGCATGCACGAATGAGTACTAAACGAAAGGGCTCTTACCAGTTAATAAATACGAAACAAGTGCTGGACGGTTGCTCTTCGCACAGAGACCAGCTTGTTAGCGGGGGAATTCTTGACAAAATGTTCGATACTCTTCATGTAGGAAGATCATCAATTCCTGTCGAATTTCTTATTTCAATTATTCCTCGCTGGTGAGTTCTAGAGAAATTCCACTATATACGCAGCAGCAAAGCGAAATGGAATTTTCTAAGTGGAGGGACGACCCGGCTTTTTCATGGATTTCCAGTGCCAAGGGCATCGCACTTCATCCAAAATCCCGTCTACCGCAAGTCGGTGAGAAAATACGGCACGCTCTATCTCTTCCAATCCGTTGCGAATCGGAAGGAAAGCCGAGAAGGTGTCACCGTCTCATCACGTCGGACTGCCTGCCCTCTCCGCGGGACTGCATCCCCCCCAGGTGAAGGCGGTGCTAAGTTGCATTCCATCCGCAAAGCGAGAGATCTCATTACGACCTTCGAGGACGGGCCGACCGGGAGTCTCGGTGCCATGTTGCCACGGTTTTCCGAGCTGGGCGTGCGGAAACCCGCTTCGCGCCTGGCGGGAACGGGCAAGGCTAAGAAACGCGGTGCCTCTGCATGCCTTCGCATATCGTCCGCGTTTTTGCCGGGACTCGCCATAAAGAGTGCAGGAAAGGCAGGTCGGTCGAACGCAACCCACATTTTACGCGACCGATTTTTCACAGACTTTCTCCGACTCCCTACTCGGCGGGAGATCGCTGGAAAGTCGGCAAATAGGACGTGCAATATGTCACTTGGACTGGTACTCCTCCCTCTTACGGTCTTAAATGCACAAGAGAATCAATCTGACGTTGGCACGACGACCCGTTCAGCAAGGCAGCTGATGCGGAAGTAACAGATACCTCATTTTATTTCGCAAGAGTAAATTAAATTGGAAAAATGCAATTCGTAGTAAGTCTTAGGTGAAAATGAGAAAAAAATTTTGAAAACTGATTTTTTTACCTTTTAAGTTTAACATATTTGTTGCTGTTATCCAACAAGAATAGAACTAGAAACACCATAATACAATCAGCAGGGGGAAAAACCAACACGACTCAATATAAAAATAAATCCGACCGGACATTCTTCTCATGTTTAAATTCGACATTTTCACACCTGGAAATGGTTCCCTGCTCAGAGGCTGAGAAGGCGTCACTTCGTTCGCGTTTCAGTCACTCTCACGACTCAGGAACGCGAGACTCCCTTCATCGTTAATTTAATCCTGATAATTATGATGAAACCGGACACCCCATCGATATAATTTAGGGAACGCTCGGTACCGATGAGACCCAACGGGACCAGCAACGCTGAATGGCCCGATTACAAGCGCTTCCCAGCCGAGAAAGCGAACTTCAACCTCTCGCCACTGCCCGACTTTCTCCACTCTGAAGCATTGAAGAACTGCGACCCATTCGAAATATTTTTAAACGCTTTTTAAACAAAATTTTTGGTTATTCCCACGGATTGGGGATAAAACAACGCTTTTCGAGCCTGCTACTGAACGCGTGGAATGATCGTTAAGCTTATTATAATCCTCCGCCAGGAACTTCGAAACATGCACTGCTCTTTCATAAAAGGATAATAAGAGATTCATCAATAGAGACATCTAGTGTCGACTGCGTAAGGCTCTGGTAGACGTGGGCACGCCCAACGGCGGGAATCGAGCGTCTGTCCCCAAGAACTCAAGTTTCTTTCAACGACGCTTCGAAATTCCATTCGAGTTGGGAGTGAGCGCCACCTCTTGATTTAGCGGGAAACTAAACAGTGTAGCGGGAGAAGTAAAGATGTCAGGAGCTCACCCGCTCGGGCCAACCACGTGATTGACACGTGCTTCAGTGTTGCAATGGGCCTCCAGGGCCTTCACCCCGACCACGTGATGTTTATAAGGGACGTGAGCGGAGTAATTCCGAGTCAGGGGGTGGAATTCAGGCTGCAAAGCCAATGTATAGTCTCCGGGCACCAGCTCGATCCCACGCAGGGTGCCAAGGCTTCCTTCATCTGCAAATCAACCATGAAAGGAGTTAGTTAGTGACTCAGACATAGATGGGATTTTCGAACGGCAGGCACCCCGGGGATTTATCCTAGATATAAACAAACCATTAGAGCAAGCTGTTGTTTCTTCGAGCTGATGCTCATTCTTCTTTTCCCATCTGCTTCTGAAGCCATGAAAGAATCGATGGACCCTCGCGTACAGATCATGCAGCTTCAAAACTCGTTCCGGCCTGATCATGGAAATTTATAATAATAATAAATAAATCTCTGGAAAAGTCAAAAGTGGCCGAATGGGCTTCAGACCTGGGATGGTCGAAGGCCCCGTTCAGTTCCTGGATGAAGTCGGTGTGACGAGATTCATCCACCGACGGATAGACCAGACGAAAGGACGTCAGGGACTGTTTGCTTTCTCGTCTGTACTGAAGTAGGATCTCCAGTTCGTCGTGAGAAAGGCAGATGTCGTGTCCTGGGCCACAGTTCCCTTCCCCCATCACACCTACGAAGAACGCAATGCATCCCGTGGCATTCGTTTCTTGCGACTTCAGATGCCGTCGAATCACTGACCGACGTCTAAAGAAGTACTTGAAAGTGCTCGATCGACCTCGGTCGCCACGGAAGAATCACTTTCTGGGATCAAAATGTCCAGCATTTCCGAAAAGAGATCCTTTCTCGTGACGTCATCGAGATCCAGAAGAGAGGGACGAAGATTCACGTCCATGATGAATGGGTAGAGAGAAGAATTGAAACCCATCTCGACAGTCAGGAGATCCCACTCGCATTCGGTGCACCTGCGGCATCGATACGCGGAAATAAAAACAGCAACAAAAGACATGCGCAGATCGACGATCGAAACCGCACCGTTTCGATTGAGGACATTCGGTCCTGATCAGGTGCTCGAGGAGAAGAAGAAACCGAACGAGGCAGATCTCGATGGATTGCTTCGCCAGGTCGGCGTCTTTCGAGCCTCTCTGGTCGCGGACCCAGAGGAGGAAGTCGTCCAAGCTCCATTTCTCTTCTTCGGGTATCTAAATCGTACCAGGAAGCAAAAGGACTGCTCAGTCTCGATTGTGTCCTCGAACGACGACGAAATTGGCACGCATGCGCGGTTGAGGATTTTATTCTGTCTGCCCACGAAAATGCCGATTCCTGATAAATGTCACCTAATCCGATTCCGGTTAGATTTTCCCCCACCAGAATGAAAGATATAACCTACCGTAATTATCCTGGTATATTCTAAAAATAACTTGTAAAGATTTTTATGTCCAAAAGGAAATTGACACGCTAACGTGACTACTCGACAAGAGTGCGTTCGAAAAGAAACACTGCAGTTCATACTGCCCAGAAGATACCTCGTTGAAGGAACGGCGATGATCGAAGCGGAAATATACAAGGGAGGCCCTCGGGGCCAAGAAGAATCTGAGGGGGAAGAAAGAGGTGACGAGAAGGAGAAGATGCAGACTCGCGAGGGAACCCCGGACCCTGAGGCCCCCCTCCATCATTTCCCTCAACACGCCTCCCGCTCTCCATTCCCCACCGTTCGACCTGGGGGGTCATAGCCAGTTCCCTCTTTATCTTTACGACATCACGTGGCCGGGAAGGGATAATAAAACCCAAACGGTCGGAATCCATCGTGTTGGACCCACTGAAAAATGCCGTAGAGATCTTTGGTCGTGAAGACTTGCTTCCTCTGTCCGGGAACCGTTGAGGGGAGCCAGATCCACCTGTGTTGCAAGGAGTAGACGTCGAGAAGATGCTGGAGCCGCTGGGAGTCTTCTGGCATCCCGAGACACAAGGGAGCGATGGGGGATTCTCTCAATGTCTCCACCTTTCCCCTACCCGTGCTCAATGTTGAACACAGGGCACGTTTAGAGGAAACCAAACTCCTCAATCCTGACGCCGGCACCACCTGAAAAGTCATTGTTTATTTCCACAGCCTAATTTTATTCGAGGAAGATAAAAAGGACATAAAGTCCCCAGATAGCGAGATGAAGTTTTTGTTGTAAACTTTGTTTTCAGCTCTCGGGTTGTTCAGCTCCTTTTTATTTCCTCGTACTATGAGACTTTCATATTCTTGTACTTAGCACCCTGCATTTCCTTAGCCGTTCCACCGATTTCATCCTCTCATCCATTGGTGATTTCCGAGCACTAAATTTGCATCAGATAATGATTTTCTTCTAGGAATTTAATATTCCGGTTTAAGACTTCAGTTTTAAGACGATATGCAACATATGCTACTATCTCTTGGAGAAATGCACGAACTTCTCAAAGAAACAAGTAGCCGGTTTCCTAAGAATAAGCTTCGCTATAGTGGCTGGCGAATCACTGGCTTCGTAAGCCAATGGGTTAATGGAGGATTTCCAGCTGAAGCTAAGAAGGTCTTGTATGAGAAGGATACAATATTATTATGCCCATTTTTGCAATTCAAGGCAAACACAGATTATCATGACCTGAACAGAGTATTATGAAGGTATGAGAGGAAGCAGCAGGGTCTTCACATTGCTTATTTTGCCTCCATGACGTTCACAGCCAACACTCCATCCTTCTATCATCCCAGCCCAAGGTTTTCATCATTTGATCAAGTAAACACTAACCCTTTGAGGTAGCTCTAATAGGAAATCGGGGAATGATGCAGACGAGGAGGCGACGAGAAGCCACGTAGAGTTCGGATCTGAAAGAAGGGAAGATCTGTTTTTCACTCTGACAAAACGTGATTTTCTTTTCGAAATTAGTTTACAGGCCGTCGTTTTCGCATACCATGGATGGTGTCGAATTTGGCGTATTTATGGATAGAAAAACCCCGTTGGCGAAGGGCATGCTGCAAGTTTTCCCACCACGGAGGACCCGGGTTGGCGAATAAGGCCCTCTGCGGATTCAATCGAAGCCATTCTTCCCTCTTCTCCTCCAACTGGGATCCCAAATATAGGATGAGCAAAAGAATAAAAGTAGGATCACTTTCTAATACCCATAAAATCAATTTGGGTCACTGTTTGTATCCGTGCACGCATGTGAAGGATAATATCTCTTCAAAAGTGGAAAACATAGACGCAATGTGCAGGATTTATCGGATAAGAAGTACTGAAAATGTTTAGTGTGATGTCAGACGCTTTCCGTGAAAGAATTTACTCGCGCAATTGCTAGACTTATCCGATCATCCGGCCTTCTAGCAGAGTAATTAGTGATAAGCTGAAAATTGGCGCATTTTCTGATTTAAAATGCTTCTGAAATCAATCACATCCCATCCCATTCCAATGGCCGTGATAATGACTACATAGCCCTATACAATTGCAGTCACATTTAAAAAGTACTATTTTGCGTACCTTGATTACAATGAGATGATGCCGCTATGGTACGGTTTCAGAAGTACGTCACCATTTCTTCTACACACCCTGTATAAAAGAGTTTTACTGCGATATAGGGAGGGAGCCTCAGATGAGAATTCCATCTGGAGGAGGGCCAGCGATGGAATGTATGGCGGATTCTCTTTCCTCCTTGGCCACAAGGAGGATATTGGCTGTCATATCGGGGTGTTCACGGGTCATTAGAGATCCCTTTGGCATCCTGACCCGAGGGAAAAGAAATCTGCCAAACCTGCCATATCGGAGCCAACAGGTTTTTCTATGCTGGCCTTGCTGTCTCTCCTTAGACCCCGGCTGGCCCTCTCCAAATGAAATATATACCCGGTGCTAATTGCCCATAGCCCTCTGCCATAACATTTCTCGTTGGTTTTGATGGAGTTGGAGGGGGAGACGAAAAATGATTTCCAAGTGGAAATTCGATACTCTCGTGCATGGCAATAATGCCGTCTCGTTATCGTCTCGGTACGGTAGGGAAGGGGAGGCGTGACAGAAACCTCTTTCTTGACAGCTCCGATCTCGTTAGACGGTAGGGGGGAACCATATCTCTTCCTGGGAATTATTTCCATCTGAGGGAGTCTTAATAATCTCGAAATCCACGTCATGTCGCCTTCAGTTGTCGCCTTCCATTCGTCGGATTTCTCTTCCAATCAGATAGGAGAAAACGTTTGGTGCCCAACACTCTTTCTTTTGCAATACATCAACTATTGATAGAAACCATGTATTGTATGTACCGGTTCGCCAGCATTCAGGCTCTATGGAGCAAGCCCGATGAGTTGGTTTTATGATGAAGAAATTGATTGGGAGATGAGGAAAACACCAGATGATTCGCCGAGTTTCATGATTGAACTAAATCATACAGCTGCGCCTTTACTCCAAGCGACAGCAGACACGTGCGAGGCCTTTCTTCGAGATGGGCCTCGGGTGTTTTTTCGAGGATTATCGCCGCCTTTGTGAAGTGCCAGGAATTTTAGGGAAGGGAGAGAAAGAAAACAGAGCCGTCACTGACGTTACACAATGGTCAGAATATCCGCTGACTCACCTCCGACGTCTTTCTCCCTTCCCGAAGGCTTCGCTCGTGTCAACACACCAGGATATTTGGTCACTGAGACCGACCGATCATATGATATTTGACCACGAGATGATGATGTTTCGATAATGGCCTAGGATGAGGAGAAGGAGAAGAAGATTCTTCGGGCTCGTCATCCTCGCCTTATCATCTGCCGTGCCTGCTCTCATCTATCATCAATTCTCCTCTTCGTCACCCCATTCGGGTGAGTAGCTCTGGTGGAGCGAGCGACTCGATGCCTTCTCTCTCACCCGGGAAATAATATTTTAAATTTTTTTTTTCCTCGTAGGAAAGGGTGCAAATAGCGAGGCATCTTCGGGTCCCTCTGTTGAACACGTGTGGTTACTTGGCAGGGTGTTACGACAAGGACTTCAATCTTCGTCCAACCTCTCGCATCCCACTCTTGCTCAGGTAACGAAGAGGACGGACTGGGCCTTTTATCTCGTGAAAAATGGGAGAACGTAAATAGAATTGCATGACCAGGGTGGGAAAAAGTTCTCTGCAGAGGTATAAAGAGGAGATGATCGAATCCATTTTCGCGCCCTGATCTTCGATTTCGGGGAGGGCTTTTGTGTGAGACCGAATGAAGATGGATGATAGAAGCCCCCTGTTTCCCCCCTTTCTCCCCCCCCCCCCCCCCCCCCCCCTAACTGGGTTGTAATAATTGTTCATGAAATTCCGAGAACTTTCTTTCCAATCAGATATTAACCCCGTACGCCATACAGGATAAGACTTTAAATCCCTTTTCTTTGACTAACGAAAATAGGCCCCTTTTTTGCATTTGTTTCCTCTACTCAAGTTGTCCACGTAAGCTGAAAATCCTCAGAATAATTCAACACGACCACGGGATTTACATGGAATCCGGGTGGGGGCTGCGGGGACGGACCTCGTCCAGGGCCAAAGAACTCGAGAGTCCATTCATGCAGAAGATTGATCAAATGGCCGTTGGAGGACTATCGTTCTTCACGGCCTCAATCAACGGGATAAAAGTCACCAGAAGAAGAATTAAAGGGTAGGACCAGGAAGAGATAGAGTGAGATAGGATTCGATGCGATCAATCACTGCTCATCGTCGCCCTCGGATTAAATGGTTCTCTCCCCTCTTCCTCCCCATCCCCCCCTCACCCTCTTCCTCCCCCCTCCCCCTCTTCCTCCCCCCCTCACTTCAGAGTATGTTTACATTATATAGATCCCCCCCCCCCCCCCCCCCCCCCCGTCCTTCCCCATCCACGTAATCCCTTCAGACCCCCTTCTACCCTTTATAGTGAAGGAGATTCATTGCCTCGCAATGAATCGTCCCGAGCTCAGTTCGCCCCAGGAATCCCCGCCGTTTTGAATATTATACAGCAGCCACGAGGAAATATTGGAGAATTTAAATTAAATGATGGGAAGGGGTGGATGATACATACAGTGTCGACGACACCGTTCGAACCTTGCCTTGAAAGGTCATTCCATCGCTCCTGCCAGACTCATTAAACTCACGAGACTCATGAAACTTATTCTTGTTTTATTGTGCAACCAGGACTCGACGAAGTTTTCAACCCTCTCGCTCACAAGGATAGTGACGCAAGATATGAAAACTTTTAGGATTTCTTCTTTTTTTTTTGTCCTTGGTTCCCATAGAAAGTAGTTCGATCGGGACTTCGACGACTGGGCCATCGTGTCCTTATTCCATGTCCATAATGTTCATCAGAGTGCTCTACGGCGGATTTTCTGTCTCCTGTTTCCACAGGTCACAAACGTGTGGGATGGGAAGGGAAGGGGAGAAAGTCGAGGCCCATTGATCAACGGCAGCCCAGTCCCCCTTCCATTTCAAGAACTTTCACTTTGCACCTGAGAAGTATGGTCGTTAGGGGTGAATGTTTCTTCAGTTTCTTCAGTTTTAGTTCAACCGTGTCCCTCGTGAATTATGATTGAGGTTCACCAGTCTTTTCAGTTATGCATGACCATCTAATTTTCATTTGGGGCTTTGACACTTTGGCCCAATCTCGACTATATATTGAGATATGGCTACATTACAGATATAATCCCTTGTCACCTTGCAACTTCGGGTTACAGAAGGGGAAAAGGTGGTACCTAAAAACATTTTTAGCACTTTTGAACTTTAGTTGAAAAGGAAAACTCTGCTTTTCATCGTGACTAACAAAAGACAAAGAATATCACTCACGAATTCATGATTATTGCACGCCATTGAGTAAAATCTTCGATGAGGGCTAAAGTATAATCCACATTAGTCAAAGCTGTGTCTCATCTATCCTCATTTCTTATTTTCTTTCAGAAAATAAAACAGTCAAGGACGAGAATGAGAAATTGATCGATGCTCTCTCGAGGGACACCGCGAATGCCCTGAGCAATCCGGTCGTGCATATTAGCCGTGATTGTCCCCCGAATAGGAATAGGCTCCATCTCCTTTTCTGCGCATACGAGTAGCTTCGGTTCAGTGACTACTTTTCTTCATATCGGAAGAAATTCCACTTTTCTACCTTCCAACTGCTACTTTAACCATCTTTCTTTACTTTTTTTATGCGGTGGCTTTGCAGTGCCTAATCAGACTAGGCATTAGCAACCTAGTGTAGTTTTAAAAATATTATTTAAAAAAAAAACTACTCTCCGCCAATGCCTACTCTGAGCCAATGTGGTTGTTAAAAGTGTTGGGGATCTTAAAAGTTTAAATTAGGCCTAGTGCTTAGGCTGATTGAGTGAAGAATGCTCGAGTTAAAGTAAAATCGAGTGTCTAGCTGAAGAGGCACGCAGTCGCTTTTTATATGGAACCAAGATTGACTTTATATCACCAGAGTGGGAAGAGACAGAATTGTCACCTAGAGCCCCTAGAGAGAGAGCCTGGCCAACTCCCACACTGGGCGCTATTCCTCGGCATTCAGTCTCTCAGTTTTTTCTCGCATAAATCCTTTCAATTCCCTGAAAACAGGTCCAGATCTAAATGCGCATATGCGTTACCAAATGATCAGTTACACTCTCAAACATCACCAATCATAATCCATTGCTCTCAAATGCCTTTTTTGCATTCCTAATTCCAGACATTCCTAATATACAAGAACTCCCAACATACCAGCGGATAACCAAAGTTAATCCCAGTATACATTCTGATCAGCCAGCTGATCTCCATATATGCCATATATCCACGGGGGGAGAGAAAGAGAAAGGAAGTCGATGAAAGCAAGTTAGTCGTTGTTAGAAAATGAGCGCCAAAATGTTGATTGTAGGCCTACCAGTAATGCATCCAAAGCTTATAGGCCTATCTCAAGCCAGGTCCTTCAATTATGCCTGGGCCTACTTGGGTTGGGTTTGTGATGTCACCAATCCATCCACCTCATCTATGCGTGTTTGGCCTGTTTCAGTACTTAAATTCATGCAGATCTCGACCTAAATAGTGTGGAAGGGGTGATAAATGAAGATTAAATTTTTTGACAGATATATGAGTATGGGCCAGAAAAGGGGAAAATGCGAGAAAAATTGGGAAATAACTTTGATAAGAGTAAGCGCTAGTGAATATATAGGTCTTTAAAAAATAACGGTGAGCAGCAGAGACGTACATCATAGGTCTATATAATGTAAACATACTCTGAAGTGAGGGGGAGTTTCTTTACGTAACAAACTTTATCTGCCTATTATTTTTTTAGACCAGACAATTGACATCACAGATGTGATGAAGGCAGTGTTGAGAGGCACGACTGAATGTCCCGGGTTCGTCTCGTGACACAGAGATATGAATTTGCTGCCAGTGTCCAGTCTAACTCGACTCCTTTCCTGAATATCTTAGGAGGTGTGAATTCAACGTGTTAGAATTGTTCAACCACAGTCAGTTTTTTGTTATTTATATATTGGCATAATATTTGCACCGCCCTCCGTATTTGCACTATAAGACCACACAGTATTTCCTTACTAATTCCCCTCAGCCAACACGGAAAAGAAGCCGACAGCAGAGTTAGGTTTCTACACTTTCTTGAGTCTAGAATCTAGAACTAAGTTCTATTCCGCCTCTTGAGAGACATCTAGTGGTAGTTGAATGAAGAATGGGGATGACGTCCCTGCCCTCCTTCCCCTTTCCCTAGTTGTCCAAGACAAGATCTTGCCTTTTTCCTTGAGAAGCATACATG